AGCTCAGATTGCTGCAGGGGCTACTATACACAGCTAGCTGTAACTTACACAGCTGGCAATGGCCTCCTCAGGCTGGAACCAATCTAGAGCTGTCATAAACTAGTGGGCCCCTGGGAAACTAACTCCCCTGTTGCTGAAGTGGAGTGCAGCTGGGGACCTGACCAACATCACATTCTTATGTGGATCTTTCCGTGGTATGATAGAGGAGCCCGTGAACGAGTGGTGGCCTCAGGGGGCTCTCTTTCAGCTTTCTGGTGTAATTCACCCCGACTAAAACCACAGCATCACCAGATGGGTTTCACTAGGTCCCTTCCATCTGGATGAATTGGATGACAACTGTGCAATTTGTTACTGAGTTTTGTAGTTAAAAGCCTTGATGTGTCAGCTGGTGTGACCAACCTGGGATCTCTGAAACGTCATGCCTCAGCCTCTACTGCATGAGCAAAAAGCTGCCTGCCTCTTTGCTAGGGCTGTGGCAGACTCATTAATCTCTAGATCAGTGCTGCTCAGACCTCAGTGGTTCAGGAGCCAGAGTAGTGAGAATTCAGAGTTTCATTTACTTTCTCTCGCTTTCCAGTAAATAAAACTCTGTCCATAGTATTCTCACAGCAAAATGACTGACCAAATTTTCTACAGTTGGTTGGTAACCATGCCAGGTTATTAATGCATCAGGAAGTTTTTACTATGCTAATAATGAAAGCGTGGAGTGTTTTAATATTATATGCTGCGAAGAGCACCACGAGACCCATTAGAGAGCCATTTATGGCTCCTGAGCCTTAGTCTGAGTATCACTGCCTGGATGGACTTGGTGTCACTAGGGCACGGGTCTCCAAACCACGCAGGCCGTGCTTACAATGGCAGCCCCATGAAAATTCGTTTCAGATGTTAGCTGTTCTCCGGAGAGGTTTTTCCATTGGGCTGGGGATGGTGACTTTTCCGAATGGGAACTGTGAAGACTTAGCCTTGTTCTTTCCTTCTCTTCTTAGGGTTCCACCATGCCCTCCTTGGAGATGAGGATGCACTGGTCCCAGCTCAGTCCCAGCCTGCCGGTATAGTGCTGGGCTGCTGATGCGCACCTCACCTGCTGTGGGATATCGCTCCAGCAGGGACGCCCTGGGCCTGCACGCCCTCTCTACCAGCAGAGGCAATGGACGCCCACATGGATCTCCTGACAGAACTGGAGCTGCTGGATAAGGTGCCCACACTAGAGCGGCTACGAACAGCCCAGAAGCGGCGGGCTCAGCAGCTGAAGAAGTGGGCGCAGTATGAGAAGGAGATGCAGCACAAGAAGCGGAAGCACGAGAAGAGGAGGAGCGCTGTCAGCCGCAAGAAGGTGTCTTTTGAGGCCAGTGTTGCTTTGTTGGAGGCATCGCTGAGGAACGATGTGGAGGAAGGTAGGACTAGCTGTGGGCAAAGCCCTCATGGTTTGGCTACCTGTGAACCTGCAGTATCTCTTCATAGGCTACATCTAGACTGCAAGCCTCTTTCGAAAAAAGCGTCTAGATTACAACCAGTACTTTCGAAAAAGCAAGCCACTTTTTCGAAAGAGAGTACCCAGGCAGTCTGGATGCTCTCTTTCGAGAAAGCACAGTTTGCATTACATGGCGCCTTTTTTCAAATGAGCATTTTTGAAAAAAGGCGTTATTCCTCCTAAAACGAGGTTTTCCGCGGTCGAAAAAACTGCTGCGTTCTTTCAATTTACTTTCGCAAGAACGCGGCAGCAGTCTAGACGCAGGGGAAGTTTTTTCGAAAGACCCCTTATTGAAGAATGTTAATTGTGGGGCTGTGGTGGTTTTGTACTGTAAAAGCCGGTCTATTAGAGCTTAACTGGGACTACAAAGCAGTGTTATGTGACATAAGTGGTAAGTTGGTTGCTGCCTGGCTGGCATCCTTTGGTGATGGCGGGTAGGTGGCTGTCTCTTTTAAACTGATGGCCAAGCTGTGAGTGACATGAAGTACCTTCATTAAATAGGATAGTGTTCTTCTCTCACAAAATGCACTGAGGCTAGAAGAGGTTAAAGCCAATAGTATTGTTAAAGACCTTGGTATCCACCTGCATCTGATGGATTTGGATTATAGAGGTTAAGGGAGCTGCTAGACTGGATCAGACCATGGTTGTCTTGTCTCTGGTGGTTGCCCATACCAGACCTTCAGTGGGAGTTACAGAACAGGGCAATTGTGGGGTTGTCTTCTACTCCAAGCTTCTGGCTGTCTGAGGTTTTGAGTCACCTTAAGTGTGGGGTAGTATGCCTGACTTTATCTAATAGCCATTGATGGACCTATCCCTCGTGAATTTATCCAGTTCTTTTTTGAACTCAGTTATACTTTGTGGCCATCACAGCATCTCACATCTATAAATTCCACAGGTTAGTTAGGTGTTTTGTGAAAAAGTCTCCTTTTTGTTTGTGTTAAAAACCTCTGCCTGTTAATTTCATTGGGTGACCCCCCTGGTTTTTGTACAGTATTTGTAGACAACACTTTCGCTTTCTCTACATCATTCATGGTTTTATAGACCTGTATCATATTGCCTGCTTAGTTGTCTCTTTCCGAAGATAACCAGCCCTAATCTTTTAGGCTATGGCTATACTAGGAACTTTTTCCGGAAGAGGAAATGCAAATGGAGTGCTCATTTGCATATCTTGTGTTCTCATTTGCATATTTTCTTCCAATCCTTTTTCCGGAAGAGGTTTTTGCGCAAAAAGGGGTTTTTGCACAAAAAGGTGGTGCTTTTTTGCGCAAAAACCTCTTCCGGAAAAAGGATTGGAAGAAAATATGCAAATGAGAGTGTGATATATGCAAATGAGTGCTCCATTTGCATTTCTCTTCCGGAAAAAGTTTGTAGTGTAGACTTAGCCGTAGTTTCTCCATGTATGGAAGCTGTTCCATTCTCTTGATCATCTTTATTGCCCTTCTCTGGGGTTTCTTGTTCCACTGTTTCCTTTTTGAGACGGGGTGACCAGAAGTGGGCACTGTATTCAAGGGGTGGGTGCACCATGGATTTATAGTGGCATTTGTTGTTTTCAATCTTTTTTTTCTATCCCTTTCCTAATAGTTCCTAACATCCTATCGGTCTTTTTGATCAGTGCTGTGCATTGAGAAGAAGTATTTGTAGAACTATCCACAGTGAGTCCAAGGTCTCTTTCTTGAGTACTAGAAGGTAAGGTAGAACCCATCACTGTATGGGCTCGTCTACACTGGCCCCTTTTCCGGAAAAGGGGCATGTTAATTTCAGCTATCGTAGTAGGGAAATCCGCGGGGGATTTAAATATCCCCCGCGGCATTTAAATAAAAATGTCCGCCGCTTTTTTCCGGCTTTTAGAAAAGCCGGAAAAAAGCGGCGGACATTTTTATTTAAATGCCGCGGGGGATATTTAAATCCCCCGCGGATTTCCCTACTACGATAGCTGAAATTAACATGCCCCTTTTCCGGAAAAGGGGCATGTTAATTTCAGCTATCGTAGTAGGGAAATCCGCGGGGGATTTAAATATCCCCCGCGGCATTTAAATAAAAATGTCCGCCGCTTTTTTCCGGCTTTTAGAAAAGCCGGAAAAAAGCGGCGGACATTTTTATTTAAATGCCGCGGGGGATATTTAAATCCCCCGCGGATTTCCCTACTACGATAGCTGAAATTAACATGCCCCTTCCGGAAAAGGGGCCAGTGTAGACGTAGCCTATATGTATAGTTGGGATTATTTTTTTTCAGTGAACATTACTTTGCACTTAATAATGGTGAATTGCATCTGCCATTTTGTTGTCCACTCACCCAGTTTTGTGAGCTCCCTCTGTAGCCCCTCACAATCTGATTTGCTTAATTGTTGTGAATACTTTTCTATCATCTTATAAACTTTGCTGCTTCACTGGTCACCCTCTTTCCTAGATCGTTAATGGCAATGTTGTACAACACAGGTCCCAGTGCAGATTCGTGGAGGAACTTGCTCCTTAGGCCTGTCTCAGAGACAGCTTATCTGAAATGTCTCTGTATTCAAGTGAAAAGAGTGGCTGTGAGCAACAGCAAACCGCAGGGATGGAAGCTTTTTGTCACCAAACCTGGAAATTTTTCCTGACAAAAGTCCCATTGCAGTGTGCACACTCTCACTGTTTTGTTGCCCAAAGGCAGTTTTTGGCAACAAAACTTTATAGTGTAGATGTGGCCTAAACTTAACACAGGCCGGGAGCTACCTGCCCTGTCACCTAGATTCTTACCTACTAGGCATTTTAAGTAGTTCCAGTGTGGCGGTTCCGGGGGATCTACCATATAATCCATAATGTGAGATAGATTCCCCTCAGCCTACCTAGGACTCAGCTCATTCTTCTGAGTCCTCATTCCATGAGGCTATGTCTACATTGGCCCCTTTTCCGGAAGGGGCATGTTAATTTCAGCTATCGTAGTAAGGAAATCCGTGGGGGATTTAAATATCCCCCGCGGCATTTAAATAAAAATGTCCGCCGCTTTTTTCCGGCTTTTAGAAAAGCCGGAAAAGAGCGTCTACACTGGCCCCGATCCTCCGGAAAAGGGCGCTTTTTCCGGAGGATCGGGGCCAGTGTAGACGCTCTTTTCCGGCTTTTCTAAAAGCCGGAAAAAAGCGGCGGACATTTTTATTTAAATGCCGCGGGGGATATTTAAATCCCCCGCGGATTTCCCTACTACGATAGCTGAAATTAACATGCCCCTTCCGGAAAAGGGGCCAGTGTAGACGTAGCCTATATGTATAGTTGGGATTATTTTTTTTCAGTGAACATTACTTTGCACTTAATAATGGTGAATTGCATCTGCCATTTTGTTGTCCACTCACCCAGTTTTGTGAGCTCCCTCTGTAGCCCCTCACAATCTGATTTGCTTAATTGTTGTGAATACTTTTCTATCATCTTATAAACTTTGCTGCTTCACTGGTCACCCTCTTTCCTAGATCGTTAATGGCAATGTTGTACAACACAGGTCCCAGTGCAGATTCGTGGAGGAACTTGCTCCTTAGGCCTGTCTCAGAGACAGCTTATCTGAAATGTCTCTGTATTCAAGTGAAAAGAGTGGCTGTGAGCAACAGCAAACCCAGGAGTAGAATTCTTCAGGGTGTGTGTGTGTGTGTGTGTGTCTGCAAACTACATCTTGGATGCCATCTAAACTACATGTATGGTGTCCAATACAGAACATGCCCTGGTCCCTGTCTCCAACCATCGTATGAACTAAAGAATCACTATTAGAGGTTGTAGTATTGTGGCTTTTTCCCCTCCCCCCAGGCTTCAAAGAATTGAGAGTGATTGATTGTTAATTCTTGAGTAGATTGGCTAATCTGCCCTACAGAAAAAAGCAAAATACACTGTGTCTAAAAGGACATGGAAGTTCCGTTTAGCATTGAATAACACAGACGGTTTATTCCTTGAGCCACTCCCTGTCTGTTAACAATCAGACCTTTTTGGCGCTCATTAGACCAAACTTCCAAAATGGAATCATTTGCCTGGAGATTCAAGTTGGTTTTTACTTTCACTTTCCTCTTAAATGAATTCCAGGGGTGGTTCTGCAATCAGTGACTACATCAAACAGAGGAAGATCAAACATCTCTGGCTGCGTAATTTTCTGCTTTGTAATTTTACTGAAGCCTCTACTGTAATGAGACTAGAGTAGAGTTGGGTGGTATTTATAGATATATATATTTTTAAAGCCCATGATGTATCACTGCAACTGAGAATTTAAATTGTTCATGAAACCCTGTCCCCCATCCCAGAATAGCTAAATATCGGGTGGTATGGAATAGGGAGGTTAACGGTTAACCCGTTACCCAGTACTTGGGAAGCAGCCCTGCTAGGCCCCTACATGGGCTGGGATCTGGCAACCCCATGCTGGGCCAGAAGCAGCTAAGATAGAGCAGCCCTTGCCCACAGCCAGGATTTGGGGGGCCAGAACAGCCCTCCTGCCCACCCCCATTTAATCTGTTAATTAAACGGGATTTGACATCCTTAGTTAGGAAGTGAAAAGGCACAGGCTCCAGACTTTGGTCTGATTGAGACACGAGTAACATAACCATTGGGCTAACCCCATGCTGGGCCAGAAGCAGCTAAGATAGAGCAGCCCTTGCCCACAGCCAGGATTTGGGGGGCCAGAACAGCCCTCCTGCCCACCCCCATTTAATCTGTTAATTAAACGGGATTTGACATCCTTAGTTAGGAAGTGAAAAGGCACAGGCTCCAGACTTTGGTCTGATTGAGACACGAGTAACATAACCATTGGGCTATTAGATCGTCTGGCGGGGGCGGGGGGGAGCTGTCTCTTGCAGATACGTTCCGATCTGAAATTCGGCCCTGGGACTGTGAAACTTTTCTTGACAAAAGTTAAAGCTGATACATTCTCTCCAAATGGCTCAGGTATTGATAGGCATTGTCCAGCAAACACTTGGAAAA